CAATACAGAGTGGGCTACTGATACACATAATAACTCAAATGAATCACAAAATTGCAACAGGTAAAAGAGGCCAGATTAGCTTAGCCAAAGTAGTCCATCCACAATAACTGAAACCACATTAGTGGTTGCTGAGAGGTAGGGTGGGGGTGGGTTGGGATACTTTTGGGGGTGAAAGCTGCCCAGTTCTTTGACTTCAGTGATGGTTACACAGGTATATGCATATGTACAAACTCTGACTGTATATTTTTTTAGTTATCCAAAAGAGCAGGTTTATCATGAAAAGGGAGAGAAGACTAAAGGATACTTATATAGGCACAAGTGGGCAGAAAGAGCCACCCAGACTGTATATTTTAAATGTGTGCAGTTGACATATGTCAATTATACTAGATAGAGCCCCCTTTTTTAAAGAACGAAAAGGAGGGAGATGTGGAGAACAAAAGGGAGGGGGTGAATTTTCTGAGCAGAACAGGGTAAACAAAGGGGATCACAGATGCCAAGGAAAGAACGTCTCATAGGAAGCCCACTGGAAAAAAAATAATAGAACCATACCCCATTTAGGAAGAAGAGAACATTGAGACCCCACTTGAGGTGGGCTGGGCAGCTGCTTGAGTGGGCAGAATAGTGGCACTGGGGAAGCAGAGAAAGACAAAGGCAGCTGCTTGGGCCTGTGCTGGAAAGCCTGAAGAAAAGCTTGAGGTTTCCCCAAGAGAAATTCCAGGCTTCCCTGAGGAATGTCCAAAGTGTGATGAGAGAGAGGAACTTAGGATGAATAACAAATATGGGGACAGGAATCCCTTAACCTGCCACCCTGTTCTAAATCTGACATCAAAAGCACCATAGCCAGTATCTTTCCTTCATCCTTGCCTGTGTGGTTCTGAGTTTATAAGTGTGCTCTCACCTCCGGGGAGGAAGGCCAGGGCAGAACTCCTGGGGAAGGCAGGCCAGGGCAGGTTCCATGGGATACAGGCCAGGGCAAGACATAGGAGCAGGGGCTGGTCAACTGTTAGGGGTGTTCCTGGGAATAGTCCCATTGTTGGGCTGACTGTTCCCCTTCCTCACCCGGGGCAGCATATCAAGAACTACCTGGGAAATGACCCCAGGATAAAAGGCAGCATTACGGTAGGCTGGGCCCGCCAGGTGCAGCCTGTGGTGAGCTGCCCACCAGGAAGGGAGGCAGGAAGCTTGGTTACAGGGGATTTCCTTCAGGGCTGCTCAGCACCCCAGGCTGACACACCTTCCCAGGCAGTGGGGAGCCCATCCCCCAAGGGCCTGAGGGAGATTAGCTACTAAAGGCTTCACAAAGTAAAGGTCAACCGGTGGCCCCTGTCCATTTTAAATACCACCTGAAGATTTGGGGCTTTTATTTTATCTTTTAAAATTTATTTTATTGATGCATATAAGAACAGAGGTGTAGACCAGAGGTGCGGGGGTAGGGGCAGTGAGAGGATTCACCAGAGACAAAGTGGGGAACAGAACGGGCAGATCTACTGAAATACACTGCTGAGGGGAGCAGCCGGTAAGACAGGAGCGGTCTGCTGCACTATGTGGGTCAGCTCCCTGGCTGGGGATGAAATTTATATCGAAGTGGCTGCTGATAGCTTGATAGTACTGAGACTTTAACCCGTGCACCACTAGAAAGGTCCAAGGGGTGGTGTTTTTAAATGTGTCTCTAAGTCTTTCCTGGATTAGGGGTCAATGATTCTTGAGGCCTTGTTCCTTCGAGAGCGTGGCTGTCCAGTAAGGGAGAAGCACTGGACAGGGAGGGGAGTCTGAGTTGTCAGCAGTCTGCCCTGAAGAATTCAGCGTTAGTTATTCCATCCAGACCAAAGCAAACCAGACCCTGTCTGAGAAGAGACTTGAGTCATGGGATTTTGATTATTCCCCAGTGTACTCCTGCCTTCCATGCTAAACAAGTGCAAGAGGAGACCTGTCATTAGGAAATTCTTTTAAGTTTTTCCGGGGGAGTGGGGGTGGAAGCTCCTTCCTTTCTTTTCATTTCCAATTATTTTAAACATTAAAAGGAAAAAGTAGGCCCTCCCTGGTGGCGCAGCGGGTTAAAGCACAGCACTGAGAATCTAAAGCAGCTTCCGCATGAGTTCGATTCCCGCCTGGCCCGGAGGTGACCACATGGCGTGGCAGACCTCTCCTGACCCGCCCGCTGCTCCGCTCAGCAGTGTACTTCGTCGATCTGCCTGTTCTGCTCCCCACTCTGTCTCTGGTGAATCCTCTCACTGTCCCTGAGCCTCTGGCCTGTACCCCAGTTCTCTATGCACAAATAAATAAATCTTAAAAAAAAAAGGAAAAAGTAAGTAGTCTGGTGTCAGAAGAAAGGACAAAACCCCTCGTGTAGGTTTTTCAAAGGGTCTTAGGCAATTCACTCAATCTCTTGGGTCTCACTTTCTCAGTTATAAAATGAAAAGGCTGCCTTTTGTCTGTGGCATGTTTGTCTATAAACATTTCATTCATTCACTCCATCCCTGAGAAGCCGGACAGTGTCGAGGAGCTAGGTTACAGCAGTTTAGAGACAGGTAAGACAGAAATGAAGGAGAGCGAAACTAGATCACGTCAGGTAGTATGAGCACTAAGCAAATACAAAGGAGGGCCTGGAGAGGTGGGATGCAATGGCGGCAGCTTCTCAGTGGAGGTGACGGTAGAGGAGCCTGGTTGAGAGGCCTGTGGAACGAGCCCCTTGATTCTAGCAGAGGACACGACTCAGCAGTCCTGAATTATGACTCTCTTCACAGGTGAAGGAGACACAGCACCTCCCGTCCCCCTTCTCCTATCAGGATATATTAATTCATTTACTTGTACTTAGGCACAACTTTCTAAAAAGTAGCAAAAATAAAGTTTGGTTTGGCCATCTCATTCAAGACAGGCTATCTTTCCTTCACTACTATCCTCTGTGTTAGTCCTGGGTTTCTGTCCCCATGGCTACAAATTCATCTACTTCTTCCACACAAGAGTAAACAGGACTTAAATCAGTGTTTTCAAACTTTTATGACAGTGTCCCATAGTGAGAAATACATGATGACCCAATATGGACATGAAGCCAAAATAGTTTTTAGAAACCAAGCTTACTGCCAGTACTTGCCATGTCTCATAGTAATTCTGCTGCAAACCATTTTCCAAAATGCTAAGGTAATTCCATTGATAACTTACAATTTGAAAAGCACTACTTGAGTAATTTCACTCAAAGACACACCAAAACCTAGACAACTCAATATTAAACAACCTGAAAGGCTTTCTCTCCTCTTCCTTTTTTCTGTACCAATGCCTAAAGCAATGGAACCCAATTTTCTGTGACTGTGGAAGAAATGTCCACAGGGCAAGGGAAGAGTGCAATATGCAAACTGTTCTCTGTGTCTAGGAGAGAGAAAATTTTTTTGTTTCAAAGATTGCCCAAGAAGGTAAACTTCAAAGTCTTGATAATAACCTCATGTGTGTGTGTTGGGAGATGAGGTGTAATAGTAAAATTCAACCTGCATCCCCACCTTCCTTCACCATAACCCAGGCCCCACATGGACAGACTGATGACTGCAACCCTGAGAATCAAGCCTGAAACTTGGCACAGACTACAAGGGTGCTCAAGCAAATTTTAATAACATTTGAATAATGGAGTTCATTGTCTCCCTCATATCTTAACTTGCACATAGACCCAATTATTACATTTTCCTGGAAATACACTAGTAAATAAGACTTGTTTATCTTCAAGTCATTGTTTAAGTCCAGGGAACTTAATCAGCTGTTTTCCTCAAACACAGGTTTTCTGTTGGCAGGTAGAGAGATGGCACTGGCTGTAATGGAAAGATTCCATGTCTGTTAGTGGCATGGTAAACAACCAGGATTTAAAAGAGCGTGTTAATTTAATAGGTAGTTTCTCAAGGGGCACTAACCAGTGGGCTCTGTCAGCAGAGGGCTCTCTCTGATGGAAACCCTGCCAGTTTCTCAGTACAACGTGGTTACCATCCTCACCCTGAAGTCAGAGTGCATGCACCCAATTTCCAGTAGCCCTGGGGCCCTGCAGTGGAAAAATTACACCTGCGGGCAAGCATTTCCCCACACTGCCACACATCTGTCACACACAGAAGGCAGCTCCTGTAAACTGTACCCTTCAGCCCCATTTAGGGACATCGGTAATGATTTCAAATTACAACTGTTGCTTTATCTGAACAGTGATAAATAGGGAACTACATTCAGGATGCTTTCCTTTCAAGTCATTTATCTGCTCTCTTCTCAGGGGCAAAAATGATGAGACAAGTGCGAACCTGCCAGGCTTATTATAGCTGCAGTTCTACCCCCCTACAGTCCTTCCAGCGCCCCTCCCTCTCTGGGTTTCCGGACTCCAGGCGCCGGCCTCCAGCAAGGAAGTGGCTCCTCACTAAAGCTAGCAGGGATTCCCTGAGTCAGGGACTGAGACAAGGACCCCCCATTCCAGCGATCAGTTCACCGACGCCCCCCACCTCCCAGGTCTAGAAAGGAGGAATGTCTTAGTGGAAGGCGGTCAGCCTAGTCACACACAGGACGAGGGTCCACCTGAACGCGAGCCGGAGGCGCGTCCGGAGAGGTGCTTGCCACCGGGTTAGTCCATTTGTGCACAAGACGACAGCGTCAGAGAAGGGAGATCCGCCACGCGGGACAAAGCCACAACTATTACGAGTTGAAATATCACCCGTAGGCACTGGTTTCGGTGCCAAAACCTCCCTGGATTTATTTTCAGGCAAGTGACTCACTACCTCGTCTTCATAAGTAATTCCATTAAAATGAGTCGCCGGTTCCATCACCGACTTTCCGCTGCCCTCTGGCTAGCTCTCTCTTCTCCCGCCCATCCTGCAAACCCAGACGCTCACGACCCGCAACCGCACCCAGGGGGCGGGGGGCCGGCCCCCTGCCCGGCCCCCACCTCCGCGAAGGATGAATGGGCCTCAGGCTGCGAGCGCGCGGCCGTGCGCGGGGTGTGGACGCAAGTGTGCGCGCCTGGGCACGCACCCGGGCCAACTTACGGAGGTGGAGTTGGTCCTCGCCTGGCCCTGGTTCCGCACCTCCTGCTCCCGGAACTGCAGTCCAGCCAGATGCTTCTCCAGAGCCTCCCAGTCCATGGGGGGCCCCGGGGGCTCCTCCGGCACGCACGTCCCGCAGTCCGTGGGCTGTAGGCAAAGGCCTCCAGCCGCCGGCCGGCCGCCCCGCCGACCCCCCGCAGGGTGAGGCTTCTGGAGAGCCCGGCGGGGTCCCCGAGATCCGTTGGGTCGCCCGACCACCACCACATTGCCATTGTGCCCGAGGTCTTGGGGGTCGTGTGGATGGAGGTTGCCATTGGGCATCGGGGGCGGCATGGCGCTGGTGGCGCTCCTGCCCCCGCCGCCGCTGCGTGTCCTGGCGCTCACGTCCCCCGGCGCCTCGGCGGGACAGCGGTCATCCCGGTACCCGCGTTCGTCGCGCTCGTCCTCCTCCTCTTCCTCCTCCTCGCCGTCCTCCCCCGGCGCCCACTCATCAATCACCTTCTTCTGATAGACCGGGAAGGGCTCCTCATAGTCCTCCAGCGCAGACACCAAGTCCAGGCTGCCCCCCGGCGACGATGAGGACTTGCACTCGGAGCAAGGGGTCACTTTGGTGGAGTTGGACTGCGAGCTGGCGCGGCTACTGCTGCTGCTGCTGCCGGCGTCACTGCCTAGATCCATCCCATCCTCTCGGTAATCCTGGGGTGGGGGAGAAGCAGAGAGTGAGCAGCCGGCCGAGCTAGCCCCGCGGCCCCCCCCCCCCCGCTGGCCCCGCGCCCCGCGCCCTTGTAGCGGAGCGCCCACCGAGGCCTGGGGCGGGAGGCCACTTCCCGAGGCATCCCCTGGCCCTCCCCCCCCCCCGCCCCCACGCCGCAGCCAGACTTCCTCCCAGTAACTAACCCTCAAATTAGCAAAGGAGGTGCCCAGCCACCAGCGCGCACTTTCCGTACAAGGGGCCCCGGGGCGATCGTGGACTTTGTTTCAACCATTTTGCGCCGGGCGCGCCCCTACAGCCCGCCCCAAGGAGTCTCTGAGACCCAGACACTTTCCCAGAGAATAATTCCTTGGGGGCGGGCACCAACGAGACGGTGGGCGGCTACTAATTTCGCACCTCGC